GTAATCTGCCAGAGCAATGTGTCATTTTCAGGGGTGTTTAAGCCCCTGACATTATGTGAGAAGAGAGATATTGTTGCCATGTGGGAGAGGGGAGGAAAATTGGGGGTGTAAGGTGATTCTTTCTGTCGCTATTCAGTCCTGGTGAATCCAATAAGTTGCTATACACAATATGCAATTTTTGGAGGTATACACAATTCACAATGAAATTGTTCTGGTACAATTAACAGTAAGTAAGTTGGAAGGTAAACAGGAATACAGTATATAACCTCAGTAACAGTCTAATAACTATTTACAATAGTATGATTTTGTGCTTGAACCATTAGACGAAACAGCGTAATAACCGGAGTCTTTTACACTAAAGTAACTATAGGTGCTGGTGTCTGCCCCTGATATATTCCTGAGTCTACAGTGGGCTGTGGATTTTGGTAAATGACACCATTTAGTGGGGCATGTAATCTATGTATTAGAGAAATTCAGCTTTTGCAGCCCTGATGGTGGTTTGAAGACTAGATGTCTTCCAGTGGTTCCCTAGTAAGGGATGTATCAGCTTGTAACTGGGATTTGTGGGTGGTATATCAACGTGAGCTCTGGGGGCCAATTCACATGACATTTTACATGCGTTTGGAGGACAGCGCCTGTATTTGGGCTTGAAAGGATCCCCTTTCATCCTCCAGGTCCTGTACTCTGCGCCCTACCTGTCGGATCTCAGAGCTGAGGCCTTCCATCTTGTGCTGGAACGTGGTTTCCAGTTTCCCTAACATTGTTGCCAGATCGGTTCTGGATGGCAGGTTCCTCAATAGTTCTTTAACATCCATGTCCAGGGAGTGTGTGGATAACACGGATGCTGTTGGGCTCAGTGGGTTCGAGTCTGTAGTTCCACCAGTCGGCGCCATATTTGATTCGCTGGAGTAAGACACACGGTCAGCATAGTCCTTAAACAGCCGGGATACCGACCCCGTTTTTCCAGCTGTTGTCTTCTCCACACCTCAGTGAGTGCTTTAAGGCGTTAAGTGGAGTGGACTGGAGCACTTTACCCTTTTATCTGCATTTTCTTTCATTTACTATATATTTTAAAAACAATAAAGTTAATTGTTAAAATATACCTTTATTTTATTATTTTACCTTATCTGGCTGCTGTTCTACTGCATTTGATTCCTTCACATCCGAGTTGGGGATTTCACCACCATTAGCGTACATCACCAGAGCAAATCATCGCTCTGGAAATTGTAAGTAGGATATCTACTTGCTTTTATATCTCATAGTACTTACATTATACTGTGCCATTGTTTTTTCTTCCTTTGTTTCTTCTCTCTCTCATACATCCTAAAAAGGGGATTATACCAGCCACGCACTAAACAGCAGAGCTCTCGGTAGCTCAAAATCATGTAAGTTAATCTTTAATTGAGGTTTACAAAGTTTTAAAACTTGGTTGATATATTGCACTATTATCTTTTTCTATACTATTTTTTTTTTTTTTTGTGTATGCATATAGATTTATTTTTACGCCTTCCTCCTTTGGAGAGGTTTACCACACCTTTTTCTTTAACAAACTAATATACACACAGTGACACATACACACACCATGGCACATAGAACCACAAACTGGCACGTACACTGGACATGCACACACAGATACACACATTATAATGCACACACACACTAGCACACATATATACACACATATACACACGTCATCATTTTTATATTTGGAGCCACTCTTCTGTTAGCATACCTTTTGCCTGCAGTAGGGTAACTTGTAATTAGAGGTAGTATGATGCGTTGCATGATGCTCAGATACATGTTCACTAAAGCTATTATAAACATATTTACATATTATAAAGCTATTATAATGATATTTACACATTATTACTGTAGGATATTGACCCTACAGTATCCTTTTGTTTTAATTCCAAAACAATTTAATTTAAAGGAGAAGGTCCTCCACTCTGGGATATAGTGGTCACATGGACCCTCTAATTTAATTTGAAAAAGCCCCATTCAATTGCACAGGAGATGGGTGGAGGAGCAACTAAATCTTACACATTGAATTGATTGTCTCCATTTTCATCTTCACATCTATGATAAGACGAATGTCAGGAGTTTCCCTTAATCATTTTTTTTTTTTTTTTTAAAACCTTCTTCTTTTGTAAACAGTATATAATATAGTGACATGTATATATATTGATGGGATTTATTTACTTTGGTTATTTAGGTTTCTAGTCAAGGCAATAATATTGTCATTATATGTCTTATATTTCTAAAGACATATTAACTGTCAGCTATTTATCACATGAATTGAAATGAAATTCTTCTTTTAATATGTTATTTTTATTTTGTTCTAATATTGTGGGTTTATAATAATATTTACATTTGGATGTTTAAAGTGAAATCATACTATTTATCATCTTTCAGTTTTGACTGTTCTAGACGTTACTTAAAATTTAAAATTTGCTCAAGTTGTCCAACTTCTGTTCATGTCATAGGTGGTTTGTCATCCGTGGGACAAAAATTGGTGGAAACACTTGGACATGCTAATAAAGCAGGACAAAGGTGCCTATTAGTATGCAACAGTGCAAATATGGCTACAATATTGCCCAGCCTACTGACGGTTTTTGATCTGTTAATTCTGAGTTCTAAAAATTAGATTGTTAATAAATGCAAGTGTAAATTGGGGAAATTTGTTTGGAAAATTTGTATTTTTGAGCTTTGATGGTTCATAACCTGAGTCTTTTTTAGTTAAACTGATGCTACATGCTTTTATTCCTAACACTTAAGTGCTGGAGTAGCAGTTTAGCTCCCCAGCCTCCCCCAGAGTGGAGTTAAACATTTTTCAAACTTACTATTTCTCCATCACTGTGCTGGCCTCATTTTAGCTGGTCTTTATGACTGAGATCATGAATCTTGGTGTTACTGTGAAAAGGCATTTTTTACATTGCTGAACATGCAAGGAACTGGCATAGACACTAGAACCACATTAAGCGTTAGTGGTTCTAGAGAAATTAGTTTCCTTTTAAAAATCCAGTGCAATATATTTATAAATGAAAAGTCACACCTCAAGACACACTACAATGAATGGCATTTGAAAATATTACAACAACCAGAACCACCACATTTTTTAATTCTTTTCTGGATTTTTTATACATTTCTTTTTCAAAGCAGTACAAAAAAGTAGAAATGTTCAGTGCATGACAAATAATACGTAATACATTGTACAGTTTTACAATACACACAATTATAATACCAAGTTACAAAATAAAGACTGGTATCATGTTGGTCTTTTAAATGTTTCAACACAATATGTTACAAAATGTAACAATCAACAGCAAAAACAGATGTGAGAAAGACAAAACTCGATGGACACGTTGCTTTTTAGCCTATGTAATTATGTAATAGTTGTCACACCTAATTTGCAGGCATCATCCTTGAAGGGGTACATTGTTAAACATAGTAAGTCATGGCTTGCCAAGTCCTATAGGCATTAAAAAAGAAACAAAATCCTTTAAAGGGACACTATAGTCACCTGGAGAACTACAGCTTAATGTAGTTGTTCAGGTGAGATCTATAGCTCCCTGCAGGCAATCTAATGTAAACACTGTATTTTCATATAAAATACAGTGTTTAAATTGATTGATAGGAATACCTGCAGTGGCCGTCACTCAGACGGCCACCAGAGGAACTTCCTATCATGTATGGCCCTAAAAAGGCCATGCACACGTCAGACGTATTAAAATATGTCTGACACGTGCAGGAGAGAGAAGGCACTGTGTGCGCGCCTTCTCTCTCCTGCCTGTCAGCAGAGGAGAGGGGGATTGCAAAGACCGCTAGCTGAGCGGTCAATCAGCTCAGCTCGCGGCCGTGCACACCGCGCACATTCGTGGTAGTGCGCTCGGGACTTCATAGGACGGCATGAATGCCGCCCTATTAAGTATGTGCGCATGTGCGTGAAGCAGCGCATGCGCACAAGGGAGCAATGAAGCTTCCCAATGGAAGCGTCTGATTGCTCCCTGCTCACGCACGCTAATTTTGTCATTTTGACGAAATAGGGGGTGCAGCTTCACGAGGCTCCCGGCGCTGGAACGAGGTGAGTAAAAAGGACTGCCTGGAGTGTCCCTTTAAGTTTAATACAAAAGTGGAAAAAGAGAAAACAAACTAGAAAGAGGACAATGGGAATAAGAAAGGAATGGAATAAAGTATAACCCCAGCTTCTGTCCTTAGTGTTAAGAGAGTTTGTGTATATCAGAACAAGAAAGTTTTTATTTAACCAATATTTTGGTTAAGGGGCCAGAGAATCTGATGCTGAAAATGCCACTATTTGCATTTTGGTAATCTCTCTTAGAAGAGAGGTTATTTAAAACAAGAAGAAACTATTAGCTTGCTTTCATACTCTGACAATTAGTGTTTTTACGTTAAAGAATACTGTAGAAATCAGTTTAACCATTTTTACAGGCAAAATAAAGGGGTATAATCCTCATAGAGCATCTTCTGGTGTAAATTCCAAATGAGCCCATTTTAGATAATTTTTGGAAGACCTCTAATATTCGTGCTATAACTGGGCATCCATACCAAATATGAAGGCCCCAGTGTTCCTGCAATTTTTCCAACACAATATTGATGCCCCATTATATATATAAAATGTTCTTTTTATATAGTTTTACATACTCACCTGTTACTGTATTGTGTCTAGATATGATAATTCTAATGACTTATTATAACAAGTCAAAATCAGGCCTCCCATCTTGACTAGTTTTAAAATCACTAACTCTATCAAGGAGAGTGTGCTGGCTTTACCTAATGAGGGTAGCTTCACTAAGCATAAACAATGTCTAATTTGTAAGTATTTAATAGTCTGTGTGAGAAATCACAAATGTGCCAGTGAGTAATTCAAAGGGGACAAGAGAGTCTTTATGAAAGATTTGCTGTCCACTGGGAGATATCTAAATGTGGAATGAATCAGCCTATGAAACCTTCATGTGATAAATAGCTGACAGTTAATATGTCTTTAGAAATATAAGACATATAATGACAATATTATTGCCTTGACTAGAAACCTAAATAACCAAAGTAAATAAATCCCATCAATATATATACACATGTCACTATATTATATACTGTTTACAAAAGAAGAAGGTTTTAAAAAAAAAAAAAAATGATTAAGGGAAACTCCTGACATTCGTCTTATCATAGATGTGAAGATGAAAATGGAGACAATCAATTCAATGTGTAAGATTTAGTTGCTCCTCCACTCATCTCCTGTGCAATTGAATGGGGCTTTTTCAAATTAAATTAGAGGGTCCATGTGACCACTATATCCCAGAGTGGAGGACCTTCTCCTTTAAATTAAATTGGCCATAAAGGGCCAAGAGCCACTGTGCCACTTCTTTGTCTCATACTGACCAGAAGTAGTGTTGGAATTAAAGTTTGTTGGCCAGCAATTTATCTGCTCTATTACCAGTAGTGTAAGAAGGAAATGTAATATACTTTGCTTTAAATTACTGCAATTGGGCAATTTGTGATTTAATGTTAGCAAGTTCTTTTGTCACTGTAACCTAGGGGTCCTGTTTGTGTTTGATTGACACAATCAAGGATAGTTGTAAGCCCATCAATTTATGAGATTAAAGTTTGGCTTCTGAAGATGCATATAATATAAACTGGCTATTGATTATATCCTCGTGAGCCATCCACAGAGTAGTCAAACTAACACCAGAGTGTTTGTTATGAGCAAAATATTCCTGCTGTTTTCTAGGTAGTACAGGAAAGTACATGTATCATCCATCTGGAGAAGATGATTATTAAAAGCGCCACCTATTACATTTTGGAGAAGGGGAACCTAGTTTCAATACTACAGGAAAGTAATCTGACCAAGCGATCAAGTCATAGTTTATATTAGTAATGCAAGGAAGAATGTCACTAGAAGACAGAAAAAAAAATCAGTTCTTAAATAGGAACTATGTACAGAGAAATAGAATGAATGTTCTTGTGCCCCAGGGTAAAAAACCCTCCAAATAACATAAAGTCATTCTCATTAAGTAGGGATTAGAAAGTGTTGCTCCATCTCTTATAAGCATCCCAACAGTGTTTCTAAAGATTGGCAGAGGAATCCATTTGTACGTTCAATAATAAATAAAATCTCCACAGGTCTTTTTCATAGTATTCCAGTTTAGTTAAAAGGTCATTAAGGACAGAAAGATGATCCTTAG